CGGAGGCCGCCGCTCTCGTCCCCCTGGAACTTCCCCTGCACTCGTCCCTCCTGGCTCCTCCTTCCCAGGCCCCTGCCCTGAGCGCTAGGCCTGTATGCGCCCACCTCTAGGTCCGAGCCATGATCTGTCCCCCTGAGCCCGCTGCCTCCGGAGTCCTCTCTGGAGCCACATCTTTGACCACGAAAGCTGGGGATCATTCTTGACACCACTCTTTTCCGTTCCCCATGTCCAGCCCGTTTTCTCACCTCCTCTTCCTGCCTCTTGGTTTTCATCCACCATTCATGGACCCAGTGGTCATCACCTCGCCAGAATGGGTGCCCTTGCCTGGACTCCCAGCTACCACACTCAGGGACCTCTCCACTTCATCCCTTTCCCAGGTGGCAGCCCTGATCATCTTCTTCAACCATCAGTCAGTCGTCACCCACCTGCTGAAATCTTTCAATAACTTTCCAGACCAAACTCTTAGCATGGCCCACGGGGTCCTGAGTGATTGGTCCTTCACCATCCTTCACACTCTCTGTGTTCCAACTACACTGGCTGTGCTCACCACAGGGCCTTTGCAATGCTGTTACCTTTCTGCCTTGTTCGGTCGCTCTTGTTCCTTCAGATCTCGGCTCTAGCATTGCCGTCTCAGGGACACCCTCCCTAGCCTCCCTGAGCAGGCCAGATCTCCTTATTGTTGTCTCCCCTAGCACCCCATACTTCTCCTTCATGTATTTGTCATACAGTTACCCACCCCACCCCCTTACCTGCGGTTTTGTTTTCCACAGTTTCAGTTACCTGCGGTCAACCATGGTCCAAAAATATTAAGTGGGAAATTCCAGAAATAAACAATTCACAAGTTTTAAAATGTATGCCATTCTGCCCTACCGGTTTGGCTCAGCTGTTAGAGCATCAGCCTGAGGACCAATGAGTTGCGGGTTTGATTCCTGTCAAGGGCACCTACTGCAGCTGCGGTTTGCCCCAGAGACCAGGTTGAAGTTTCTCTCTCTCCCTCCCACTCTATCTGATGATAAAATAGAAAAATATCCTTGGGTGAGGATTAGATAAAAAAAATTAAAATGCATGCCATTCTGAATAGCATGATGCACTCTCTCGCCGTCCTGCTGTCCGCCTGGGAATGAAGCTCCCTTTGTCCAGCGTATCCACACTGTATGTGCTACTCACTCATTAGTCCCTTAGCAGCTGTCCTGGTTAGATCTACTGTCACAGTATTGCAGTGTTTGTGTTCAGGAAGACTTTATTTTACTTAATGGCCCAAAAGCACAAGAGCAGTGATGCTGGCAATTTACATGTGCCAAGGAGAAGCCGTAAAGTGCTTCCTTTAAGTGAAAAAGTGAAAGTTTTTAATAAAGAAAGAAAGAAAAAAATCCTATGCTGAGGTTGCTGAGATCTACAGTAAGAACTAATCTGAGAACTTTTGAAGGAAAAAGAAATGCATGCTAGTTTGCTGAGAGAGACCCCATTCACATAACTTTTATTACAGCATATTGTAATAATTATTCTATTTTATCATTGTTGTTAATTTCTTACCGTGCCAAATGTATAGTTTATCATAGGTATGTAAGTATGTATGTATGTATATGAAAAAACAAACATAGTATAGATAGAGTTCAGTACTATCTGTGGTTTCGGGCATCCACTGGGGTCTTGGAATGTAACCCCTGCAGATGGGGGGACTACTATAATTATAAGTGTCCATTTGCTTGTAATATTATTTAATTAATGTCTGTTTCTTCCACTAGACTGTAAGTTCCGTGAGGGTAAGGGCTACATCAACTTTTGCTCACTTCAAAATCTCCAGCACCTATGTGCCTGGCACACAGTAGGTGCCCAGTATTCTTGAATAAATAATGTTGTATGTTACATACTTTCTTCACACTTTGCTCTATTTTCTGAGCCTAAGCCTCTACCATCTCCTGTTTACACCTCAGCCATCACTTAAAAATTTTTTTTTTTCTTTATTGATTTTAGAAAGAGAGGAAGAGAGAGGGAGCAAGAGATAGAAACATCAGTGAGAGAGAACATCAGTTGGCCTCCTCCTGATGTCCCCCACTGGGGATCTGGTCCGCAACCTGGGCATGTGCCCTGACCAGGAATCGAACCAGCAACCTCTTGGTTCATGGGTTGATGCTCAAGCACTAAGCCACACTGGCTGGGCTCAGCAATCACTTTTAACTGGTCTCCAAGTTTACAATCAAGTCCCTACCGGTTTCCTATCCAACAGCCAGAATGTCTAATAAAAACGCCAATTTAACTACGTCACCTTTCTCACTCCCTTTTTAATAGCCCTCAGTGGCTTCTCATGGCTCTTGGAATAAAATTCAAACTCCTGACACAGTCTTACAAGGCCTTGTATGGTTTGGCTCACCTCATGCCAAGCTCTACCTCAATGGACCTTTCTTTTCTTTACTTTTTTTTTTTTTCAATCCTCACCCGAGGATATTTTTCCATTGATCTCAGATAGAGTGGGAGGGAGGGAGAAAGAGAGGGAGAGAGAGAGAGAGAAAAACATTGATGTGAGAGCTACACATTGACTGGTTACCTCCCACATGACCCTGACCACAGCTAGGGATGGATCACAATGGAGGTACATGCCCTTGACAGGAATCAAACCTGAGACTCTTTGGTCCATGGGCCGATGCTCTAACTGCTGAGCCAAACTGGCCAGGGTAATGACCACATATTTTTTTAAGTGTTTTTTCCTGTATTAATTTTTAGAGAGAGAGGAAGGGAGAGGGAGAGAGATATATAGAAACATTAATGAAAGAGAACATCGATTGGCCACCTCCTGCATGTTCCCCACTGGGAATCGGGCTACAACCTGGGCATGTGCCCTGACTGGGAATTGAACTGGCAACCTCTTGGTGCATGGGTTGATGCTTAGCCAGTGACCCACCTGCCAAGCACTGACCACATTTTTTTTAATCCTCACCTGAGGACACCTTTCCATTCCTTGCTCAGATAGAGTGGGAAGGAGAGAGAGAGAAACATCAACGTGAAAGGGACACATCGAGTGGCTGCCTCCCACACGACCCAACCAGGGCTGGGGACAAACCGCAGCCAAGGTATGTGCCCTTAGCGGGAACCAAACCCAGGTCTCTCTGGACCACAGGCCGACGCTCTAACCGCTGAGCCAAACCGGCCAGGGCTGACCACATTTTTTGTTTACATCTGCATCTGTTTGTGTGGTTATTTGGCTAATGTCCATCTTCCCCACCAGGGAGCTCCAGGAGCTTCCATGTCTGGTTTTTGCCTACCATCATATCCCTCTGGTGCTTAGCTGGTGCTCCACAATTTATTGAATGAATAAGTGATTCCCTTGCAGTCTTCAGAGGGTGCTGCCTTCAGGGAAATGTTGGTACCTCTGCCTCATTGTGAAGATGAGCTGGGGGCTGGGAGGGGTTGACAAAGGAGCTCTCACTGAGAGGGACCTAGAAGCTGTTCCCTGCCCCTCTTCATGCCCAACACCTATGACTTGGCCCACCTACCTCTCCTCCCCCACCCAGCTCTCCGTTGTTCCCGATGCCCAGCAACACTGGTCCTGCTCCCACTCCTCCTGGGCTTCCCACATACTGACCCCTCCACCTGCAGCTCTTCTCCCTGCTTTCACATGGCTGGTTCCTCCACCTCCTTCAGGACACATTTAATTGCTGCATCTTCAGAAGACACAATGGAAATACATTTATATATTTATCACGGGTCCCTAGATGCATTAGAAGCCTTTGACCATACATTAACAGAAAATCCAACTCCACTGGCTTAAAGGACAGTTGTGTAGTGGTAGGACTGCTTTTGAGGTTGGTTAATTCAGTGGTGGTCTCGAGGACTTAGGTTCTCCCCCCGGCTGCTCTGTCACCCTGGCAGTTGGCTTTGTCCTCAAGCTGGTTAGCAGGATGGATACAGCAATTCCAGGCGTCCCAGTCAGACCTCATGTCACACAAGCAGGGTTTTTCCATTGTTACGCGTCTTAGTTAACTCTTGCTGTGTAAGAAATTATCACAAAACTTAGCAGTTTAAAACCACCTTTATTATCTCACAGTTTCTGAGGGTTAGAAACCCAGGTGTGGGTTAGCTGGTTGGTTCTGGCAGAGGGTCTCATGAGGTTATTGTCAAGCTGTTGGCCAGGGCCAAAGTCATCTGAAGGCGTAACTGGGGCTGGAGAATCCACTTCCAAGCTTATTCACATGGCTGTTGGCAGGGGGCTTTGGGCCCTTGATGGGGTTTCTCCATAAGGCTGTCGTCCATGATGTCGGAACTGCCCTCCTCCAGGGGGAGTGATCCAAGAGCAAAAGCAACCAAGGCAGAAGCTGCAGTGTCTTTAACGACCGAATGTTGGCTGTGACACACCATCACTTCTGCTGTGTTCTGTCGCTCACTCAGCCCAACTCTGGTACATGGAAGGGACTACACAGGATGTGAACACCAGGAGGTGGGGACACTGGAAGGTTGACTGGCGACCACATGGTATATTTTTCAAGTGAGGGAGCCTCTCCTAGAAGCCCAGGAGGCTTTGCTTTATGTCTGCTGGTTGGAATTGGGTCACGTGCCCATACCTAAACCAATCACACATGAGGGCGTTTTGGCTCATTACGGTCATACCCTGTGGCTAGGTCCATCTCAGCTGATGCACAGAGTGGGATCCAGGAGGACGGTGGCCACCTGAACTCTCAGGACTCTGTTTGGAATGAGGAAGCGGGATGGGAATGGATACTGAGTCGGCACCTCAGAGTGTTCACAACACATACCTGCTCCCTGAGAGAAAAGGCTACACCTTTTCCTACTACTTATGCCCAGCACGCAGCCCATTGCCTGGCACAGAGCAGATGCAACCATCCTTGTTCAATGAATTAGTGAATGAATTCATGACTAAACTGAAAGACTGCTAGGACTACTGCCAAGCAGGGGTAGATATCCCCAGGCCCTGGCTCCTTAAATTCTTAGAACTCAGGAGGCCACCTGCTACCACCCCCACCGCCAGCCCCAAGGACAGACAGGACTGGCAGGATTATTCTCACTTTATTTCTGGAGAGTTTGATTGATGCAGTAACACTGATTCCAGGCGAGGGCAGGGGCATGGGGACCCCTAAAGCAATCAGCATCCTGTGGCCCAAGGTGCCCCCCATCCCCAGACCTGGGCTCCCCCTCAGTTACAGTTAAATAGAGAGAGGAAGATCTCCCCAGGGAGTCTTGGGAGGGTCTGCCTCCTGCACATGCCCCCTCTAGGCAGAGGAGTCTGAGCACAAGCTATTTACAGTATTCACATCCACTGACCCCACCAAACCAAGGCAAATACTACAGGCGGCCCTTCCCCAGGGGAGGAGGCCACAGAGGCTGTGAGTGTATGTGTGTATGGGAGGTGTCCGCAAGTGTGAGCACACAAATGCACTGAGGAGCAGGGCCTTGCTCCAGCCAGAGACAACAGTCTATAAGGTGCTGATTAAAAATAACAGAGAGGACCCACCCCCAGGGGCCCAGGCCACTTCCGGCTTTGTTCTGTCTCTTTCTTTTCCAGACATCCTGGTAGATGATGCAGAGGAGCCCTCATAGCTGTGCCTGGATCCAAGGCAACCCCTTAAAGGACTTCTGGGGGGAAAGCAGGAAAGGAAACAGTCAGGCACACTATGCTTCAGAGCCCAGCCAGCCAGGGTGGGGGAGGCGTGTGGAGTGTGAGCAGACCCCCGGCGGAGCTGGAAGAGAGGGCAGGGATGGGAGTCCTGGGAACTGTGGATCTGGGAGCCAGGGATCCCTACCTGTAACCTGCGGGGGCTGCACCACAGCTTTCTTGAGGAAGGCGTCTGCCTCTGCGAAGGGCAGGAGGGCCTCTGCTGTTCGGCCTAGACTCTTTTCGCCAGAGGGTCCCTTGGGGGAGAAGCCATTCTCCTGGTGTGCTGGGAGAGGCTGCAGGCCATTCACCAGGGACCCTGGTGACTCCTTGTTTGGCAGGCTGTGGATGCAGGGGCCATGCTCAGGCACCTCACATCCTAGGACAGCCCAGGTACCCCACAGCTCCAGTTTGCCCAGACTCCCTGCTCAGGGTCCCGGATGGGGAGCTGGTACCTCCACTGAGGCTCCTGGGGAACCAGCTCCTCTTTCTGCACAGCCTCCTTCTGCAGCCCCGAGGGCCGTGACTCCCCGGCGTTGACAGGGTCTATCACAGGGAAGGAATGGCCATCAGTTGCTGGCTGGTGAGAGGAGAAGGTATGATGATGGCGTGGCGAAGGGGACAGAGTGGGGGGAATAGGGCCTTTACCTGGGCTAGAATTGTTGGTGTTTGCTTCCTTTCTGTCCAGTTTCTGCTTTGAAGAGGAAGAGCAATCAGACTCAAGGTGCATCTGGCCCCACCAGCCGGAGGCGCTGAATTCTTCTCTCGTCCAGCCCAGACCCTGAGCAGCCTGCCACAGCTTCCTTCCTCCATCCCGAATGCCTTTCCCCAGCCTCCTCCTCACCCACCTCCCACTGCCGACGCTGCCCTTTGGGGAATCCTGACCTTGGTTTCAGCAGCTTCTGACTTCCGAGTCCTCTTCATGATCTCCTCCAGACGCTGTTTGGAGGCCCCACATCAGTTAGGCCTAAGTGCCGCCCTGATCCCAAACCTCCCACCATCCTGGGGTCTCAGGGCCCTCCCAGCTCATACCAGTCCTCTACAGGCCAGGAACCAGAACTCGCCCCAATTCCCTCTTGTCCAACCCTTTACAGTCCAAGGCAGGGCCCGCCCAGAAGATGGCCCCGCCCACAGGGGCACCACCCACCGCTCCCCTACCTTTTTGCGCTCTTGCCGCTCCTGCTCCTCCCTCTGGAAGTGCTTTTCCCGCTCCAGACGCTGCCTTTCTGCCTCTTCCCGGGATCGAGCTTCAGCCTCCTCTTTCTGCCAAAGACCCCAGGGAGCTTTAAGCAGCTGCACTCCAGCCTTCCCTCCTGACCAGCCCTCGGCCCACCAGCAGCAGGCTCCAGCGCCCAGCCCGGCACTGCCCGCTGGGCACCTGCTTCTGCAGCCGCTCCTGCTCCTCCTGTTCGGCCTGCGCCTTCTCTCGGGCCTCTTGCTCCTCCCGCCTGCGGGCCTCTGCCTCCCTTTCGGCCCGGGCCTCGGCCTCCCGAGCCAGCTGCTCCTCTCGCATTCGCCTGGAGGACACAGGAAACTCGTGCTCAGTCCCGTGCTTCTTTAGCAGCCCCCATATGGGCCCCTGAGTCCCCGAGGGCGCACTCACTTGTCCCTTTCTGCCTGGAGCTTCCGCTCCTGTTCCTCGCGCTCCCGCTGCTCCCGGGCCTGGCGCCGCTTCTCAGCCAGGAGGCGAGTAGCCTCTTCTCGGTCTGTGGTGCCAGCTATGGGTTTGCCAGGGGTCGCTGGGGGAGCAGGGGCAGGGGGTGAGGTCGGGACAGCAGTATCTGGAGTGGAATCAAGGTCCAGGAGTCAGCACACACCAACTCAGGCCCCTCCAGCACCCCAGCATGCCTGTACTTCCTGGACCTCAGGGCGACCCACCCATCCACCTTCTGCCATCAACTTAGAGTGTGAGCTCCTCTTCTCTGGCCTGTGGCCTGCGACTGGACCTGCTGAGGGCAGGGGCCTCCTCTTCCTGTCTGCCAACACCCAGTTCCCAGTCATCTCTGGGCCCACACCTCTGACCACTTGCCCACACAGGAAAAGCTGTCTTCTCTTGCCCTGCCCACCTCTCCACCTCCTCTCTTCATGCCCACCTGCAGGGACCTCAGCTGTGGGCTGTTCCTTCTGGGGCTGGGCTGGGGTGGGTGAGGGCACAGGCGAGGGTGCCGGTGAAGCTGGGGCTGCAGGCTCCTTCTCTTCGCTGGCCTTGCCCTTGCTCTGGTTCTTGTCCTCGGGTCCTGCTGCCCTGGAGTTCTCCTTTGCCTCATCCTTCCTCCGAACCCGCCCCTTGGGTGATGCAGTGGTGCCTCGGGGGGATGGTGGTTTTGGGGGTAGAGCATGGTTGGGCCCTGGGCTGGGGCAGGGAGAGACAGGCCTGTGCCAGGATGTGGAGGGAGAGGATGGCCGGGCCTTAGATTTGGGACTGAGAGAAAAGGGAAACGTTAGGCCTGGAAGACAGTGTCCACACACATATACACACACAGCATGTCATTCCTCAGGGGACTGTGCCTACCTGCCTAGGTCAGCACCCCCCACCTCATATACTGTCACGGAACCATAGTACTTCCTGTGAAAGTATATATCCCAGTTTGTAATTACATAATCACGTAATTAACATCTGTCTCCCCAATAGTCGGTAATATTAATAAGAGCAAGAATGAGGCCTAGTTTGGCTCACCAAAGTGTCCTCAGCACTCAGAACAGTACCTGGCAGGTCCGTTCATTCATTCAGCATCTGTGGAGAGCTTACCAGCTGCCAGGCACTGTTCTAGGTGCTAAGGTACTTCGGTGATCGAAACACTCAAAAATAAAAATAAAAATCTGCCCTCAAGGAGTTTTCATTCTAGAAGTGGGTGCCCAACAAATACCTCTGAAGAAACGAATAAACGAATGGCCTGGTGACACGCAGGCCGTGCCCACCTGAGCTCGGAGGCCGTGCCAGCAGAGAGGCGTGGGCGAGGCGAGGCAGGCAGTGACTGGCGCTTCTTGAGGCTGCGTTCCCGGGCCAGGGCGCTCTTCTCCTTCTCATTTTCCCGCTCCTTGTCCTTCTTCTCCTTTTTCTGCACCTGGTGAGGAAGGGGATGGAGAGCAGGGAGGCAGGGAGCAGAGGTCAGCGGTGCCCACACTCTCAAGCTGGGCTCCCTGTCCCCACCTGCTTGGCCACTTACCGGCGAGGCCTGGGGCCTGCGGTGGACCGGGGTGGGGCTGCCCAGTGAGCTGGGCTTGCGGCGCTCCCCACGCTCCCCGGAGGAGGGGGTGCAGCGGTGCACGCTGCTGCGGGGGGCGCTGCATGGCGGCATCAAGGGGCTGGCAGAGGCCGAGCGCGGGCACACCGGCACGGCTGCAGAAGGATGAGTGCGGTCGGGATGTGGCCCACACGCGAGGCTGGCCCCTGCCCGGCCCCTCATGGGGGCTCTCCCAGGGCCGCTGCCCCTACCCTGGTCACGGCCATTGCGGGGCAGTGTTACTGCACTGCGACTCCGTGCCAGGAAGGAGAGGGTGGGCGTCATGAGACGGTCTACGATGCTGCTCTCCCATGCGCTCAGCTGCAGGCTTCGATCTAAGGGGAGAATGCCAAGAGGAGCTGGTCACTGCAGGGGGGTCGCAGGGGACAGGCAAAAGCAAAAGGGGGTGGCCAGGTACCATCCCATGCCAAGACCAAGGAGTCTTCCCCAGGAGGGCTCTATCTTGATCACCCCTGGCCACACCTCTCTGCCCTGGGGTCTGACCCCCACTGCAGACTGAGGCAACAAGACACTTTCCAGAGCAAAGCGCTGCATAGCTTGAGGGTCCCCTCCTACCTCTCTCCCAAGGTGAAAGGGCTTTGAACTGTGAGTGCAGCAAGGAGCCGCCCAGGGTTGGTGTCCCACTGTAGGGCCCGTTCCCTCCTGCTATCAGAGGGCTGGGGAGGCGTGACCCCATGGATTTGGGACAGTAGAGGGCCTTGTGCTCCTTTGATTCAGGAGAGTCCCAACTTTCAGGCGTCCCATGCCAGGGAGAGGCTGCTAGGGGGCCTGGCTGCCCTGGGCTACCCTGCTCTATCCCCTCAGCTGCTGGGTTATTTTTAAGCCTCAGTCAGGTGGGTTTGGTACAACAGCTGATTTGGTTGCCAGGCAACCGAGCAACCAAATAAAAGCTGGAGAAATTTATAAATAACTCCTACCATGGCCCTTCACATGTGAGTACCAGGGCAGTGAGAAGCAGGGCCTTGCCACCCTGGTTGGCCACAGCTCTGGAGCCAGCCAAGGCCATGGCTGGGGCTCTGAAGGCAGAGGGCAGGGTTGCATGGACCCTCCAGGGTGAAGCCAGAAAAAAAGGGCCCCCTCCACACACACAGCAACCAGGCCAGTCTGGTACCTGGGGGCAAAGCCACCTGCTGAAGGCTGGCCTAGGCCAGCTGGCTGTGGTTGGAGATGAGGCTGCTTGCCCATTCCCACCCCCATCCCCACCTGCTCTTGAGGCCCTGCCAGGCTCTCTGTCTGCTCTCTGCCCTTTGTCTCTCTTCTCCTTCCTGCAGGGCACATCTCTGTCCTCAGGGTCCAGACCCAAATGCCGGCTCCCCCGAGGGGCACAGAACCCTGGGTGGGGTAGAGTGGGGATGGGGACCTGGGGCTCTTGCTGAGCTCAGAAGGCTTGGAGGGAGCTACAAAGGACTCTGGAGGGAGCAGGGCTGGGCCTTCTCTTACTTCTACTGGGGGAGTTCCAGAGCGTGGCAGAGGACTTTGAGAGCCGCTTGTTGATTATAGAGTCCACGTGTTTGGGCAGGTTTACTGCCGACACGGAGCACCTGCTCCCACCTAGAGGGGAAAAGACACGGCATTAGGGCCGGGCCACACAGGAGCTGGGGCGCACTGAGGCCTTCCATGCAGGATGCTCCGCGGGCAGGTGGGTAAGGGAGGAGTGGGCAGGCTAGGAAGGGGAGGAGGAGGCAGACTTGGCTCTGGGAAGAGGGTTGGGGGTAGGTGATCAGAGACAACCTGTATTGGGGGAGCCGACGGAGAAGGAACAGAGGGAGGAGATGGAGTAAAACTAGAGGAACTACAGCCTTCCTGGCCAGGAAGCCATTCCCTAAGGCTGGGCACTGCATGCCCTCCCCACTACCACCCGATGTTGCACTTGCTGACTCTGCCCAGCCAAGGCACTATGGCTACAACACCCACGTACTGGGACAAAGCAGAGACGTTCCTAAACAGGAGAACCCACAGTCACAGCCATTTGCACAAATCCACATGTTCATAGAGACACACAAAGACAAAGACATGCAGGCACAGGCATATAGAGTGATAGGTACTTCCGCATGCACACATGTGTGCAGACATGCACAGGTACAGAAACACAAACACTAACAGATAATGTGCCAGACCCAGATGCACACAGGCATGAACACATCGAAGCAACTTAATAATGGTATTTGTAACAGCTAACAGTTGTTGAATGCTTACCATGTACCAGGCACTGTGCTGGACACCACACACATGTTACCTCACTTGATCCTCCCAAACATCTACCTACAACCTCGGAGGCAAGTAGTATTGTTATCCCCATTTTACAGATGAAGAAAGTGAGACATTGAGAAGTTAGAGGTTACACTGCAAGTGTCAGAGTTGGGATCCTAACCCAATTCTGTCTGACTTGGGAGTCCTTCCTGAGGTCCTCAAGGCCACAAACACACCAAGGCAAACACATATTAAGACAACCAATGCCCAGATCCATGAGCACATAGACCAAAAGATACACAGCTAGGAATACTGGACCTCCCGTTACAGAAAGGTGTCCAGACACAGCAGTACATACATGCCAGCAAAGAATCAGACCAAGTCCACAATGGCCTTACATGAAGAAAACCCAGAGACAAAAATCTACCTTCCAAGACAGGTCCATAAGGGGTGGGGGTCGGAGGGGACAGTTTTCTTTAAATATTCCGTGTCTACAGGGCATTCAAATCCTCTTTTATGTATCATCAACTGATAATTGTCAGGAGCAAAGAAGGCTAACCCAAAAATGACAGGTTTGACGAGCAAACCAAACGAAGAGACTCCATCTCTGACTCGATAGTGGAAGTCCTTGAGAAGGGACAGTTTGGTCTACAGAACATTCCAGAATATACCCATCACATGAGCAAGGCATACCTGCGGCAGGGAGCTGCCAGTCCTGCAGTGAAGCTGCTCCCTTCCCCCACTCCTCAGGTCCCAGCCTCGCCCACCCACCCACCAGCCCCTCCAGCCCACTCACTGGTCTTATGTCCTGGGGAGCTGTGGTGCAGGGCCCCTGCCCAGGACCAGCGCTGCTGCCGGATTTCAGCCCACGTTTTCTTCACTGACCGCTGGATGGCTGCTTCATAGCGCTCCTGGAAGGGAGCAAGAGGGAGGTCTGCGCTCAGAATCATTCATCATCTCTGGGAGAAAAACCCCTTTCTCTCCTGTGACTGCCCTCCCCCAGCAGTTTTCTCTTACTCATTGCAGGTAACCAAGGGTACTGAATCCTTGCTATGATTAAGGACAATTTGCCAACGGATCCCTTTCAACTTGTTCTTGAGGAGCTTTTCACTGTTCTTGAGTCATTTCCTGAGTGTATGAGCTGTTTCTCTGAGCACAGGGTGGGACTGTCCCTGCCTGGGGCTCTCAGGTAGAGCCATGCCCTCTGGCACTGAGGGTCCTGACCCTGGAGCAATTATTTTCCTGTCAGCCTGAGACCACTGGACAGAGCCAGGCCACGTTTTCCTTTCATTTCCTCACTGGGGCTCAAATCAGGGCTCTCCTCACACTGTAGAGCTCAGCACACTCACATAGACTCATCTCTGCATATAAATACCCACATATGGGGCACACACGCGCACACGCACACTCACACACACAAATACTTGTTCTGACAGCACATGGTCACGGATGCCCACCCTGGCAAGTACTGACCCAATATGTCCGCAGTTGCCCAGATGTTCAGATATTGTACCCACAGAGACGCAACTATAGGTGTGAACACGAATATGACCATGTGGACAGAGATGATGCAGAGGCATGAACACAGATGTGTGTACACACTGAACCAATGTACAGATGTGTACGTACGCGGGTACGCAGATCCACGCACACCCAGTTGGAAGTCAACACAAACGTACCTTGTTCTTCTCGAGCTTCTGCCGCTGCCGCTCCTCCAGGGCCGCTCGGCGCTGCTCGGCTTTGAGCCGCTGCTCCTCCAGCCGCCGCCGGCGCTCCTGGAGCTGCTTCTCCCGAAGGGCCTTGGCCTTCTCCTCCTTCTCCAGCCACACTGCCTTCTTGGCTGCTGTGGGAAAGGAGCCCCAAGGGGTGTGAGGCACTCTGCTGAGGGGGGACCATCCCTGTTAGCCTGGCCCTGAGTGGGCTTTCTCCTGCTTGCTTGGTGGAGAGGTGCCTCCAATCTCAGACCCCCTCAAATTAACGGGCTTCCTGCTAATGGGCTCAGGCCTCAGAATGGAGGCCTCGGTCCCCCACTGGCCTCATGCTCGCTCCGCACTGAAGGACAAATGAGCTCTTTAGTGCCAGACCCCTGTCTGGCTTTGGGGCCTGTTGGACAGATTTTCGTGAGCTGTGATCGAAAGGTGAGCCTCCAGGTCTGAATCTCAGGTACTCCGTGAGCTGTGTGGCTCAGGCAATGATTTCATCTCTCCGAGCCTGTTTCTCAGCCTCAAACTAGGCTGAGAGCATTAACGGGGCTAACACAGGTACTGCCTCAGCACAGTGCACATAACTAAGTGTCCAGAAGTGTTAATGTTATTAATAGGGCATTGATGGTGATGGTAAGGAAGATGACAATGTTTCCTAAACACTCACCCAGGTACTTGGCCCGCTCTTCTCGCCGCTCCTTTGCCAGTTTGTGTCTCTCTCCTGCCTTCTTCACATCTTAGTAAAGGGAACAAAGTAGATTTAGGTCAAGTGGCTCCTCCAAAGGAGAGCCAGCCTCAGCTGCCCACTCCCCCACCCCAGGCCTCACCCCATCCCTTTCCCCACCTCCTCTAGGGCAGAAATTCTCTCTGATGGTGTCACCCAGGGCTGGGACCCTGAGCTAAAGGGCCTGGGCCAGGACATCACACACACCTTGCTTGGCCGAAGGGCTGTCGGAGGCTGGCACTGCCGTTGGGGATGACTGGCTGCTCCTTCGAGGAGGCCTGGAATCCCGTGGGCCTGTGGCTGGTGGGGTGGGTCCCCTGATCTTCACTTCTGAGAAAGGGGACTCTTCCTGCTGGGGGGCTGGTCTAGGCCCAACCAGCCCTGAGGGGCTCTCTGGTTCCAGTGAGAGCTGCTTAGAGTTAGTGGCATTCTTCATGGCAGGAGGGGTGTCCGGGGGAGTGTCGGGGATCAGGGCTGACATCGGTGGCGGTGGTGGCGGAGGGGAGGGGTCACCTTCTGGAGAAGGTCTCGGCTCTGGCGGGGTCCTGGCTGCCATAGCTGGAACACCAACACAAGAGAGGAGAGTCAGGCAGTGTATCTGCAATATCAGTTTAACTCAAAGCTTTCTCTCTTGCCCAACTGACTTATTCATTCATTCACCCAACATGTTCATTGAATTCCTTCTATGTACCAGGCCCTGTTCCAGATACTAATGATATAATGGTGAGAAAATAGCCATGGTCTCACCCTCTAGCAGGGCAGACCACGCGCCAGGCAGTTACAGTAGAGAATAAGTACTATGTCGGGGGGTAACACAGCAGACATGGTTAACTGATGTTTGGGGGCTTCCTGAAGAAGTAACAATAAGCCCAGCTCTGAAGGATGAGCTCGAGCTGGGAAACCAGAAGGAGAGGGTTTTGGCAAAGAGAAGAGCATCTGCAGAGGGGCAGAAGGGAGCAGCGTGTGTTCGAAAAACAGAAACCCTAGCTGGGTAGCTAAGTTGGTTAGAGATTTGTCCTGATATGCCAAGGTTGTGAGTTCGATCCCTGGTCAGGGCACATACAAGACAACAAATGAATGCATAAATGAGTGAAACAACAAATTGATGTCTCTCTCTCTCTCTCTCCCCCTCTTCCTCTCTCTCTAAAATCAATAAATAAGCCCTGGCCGGTTTGGCTCAGCGGTTGGAGCATTGGCCCGCGGACCAGAGAGTCCCGGGTTCAGATCCTGCTAAGGGCATGTACCTCGGTTGCAGTTTGTCCCTGGCCCCGGTTAGGGTTGTGTGGGTGGCAGTAAGTCAATGTGTCTCTCTCACATCGATGTTTCTCTCTCTCTTCCTCCCTCTCTCCTTCTTGCTCTATCTGAAGATAAATGCGAAAAATGTCCTTGGGTGAGGATAAAAAACAAACAAATAAAATCAATAAATAAAAATTTTAAAGAAAAAAGAAGAACTGAGAAAAAGTTTATAGTACTTATTGATCTACCAAACAGTAATGATTGGTTTCCATGTCTGCCTTCTTCACCTTTCTGCTTTACCTCAGGGTCACAGTGCCCAACTCAGGTCTGGTACTCAGAGGGTGCCAATGCTGGGTACATGGGACTGGCAAGGAAGAACATAGCACGGGCACAAGTAGGATCCCCTCTTGGGCGGGCAACCAGCTATATCCATTTCGTAACCTTCTTTTGTTTTCCTAGCACCCTCAGATTGCTGCTGCTGCTTCTTTTTTTTTTTTATCCTCACCCGAGGACATTTTTCCATTTTTTCTTCAGACAGAGTGGGAGGGAGAGAGAGGAAGAGAGAGAGAGAGAAACATCGACGTGAAAGGGACACATTGAGTGGTTGCCACCCACACGACTCAACCAGGGCCGGGGACAAACTGCAACCGAGGTACGCGCCCTTAGCGGGAACCAAATCTGGGTCTCTCTGTACTGCAGGCCGATGCTCCAACCGCTGAGCCAAATCGGCCAGGGCACTTCTTTTTTTTTTTTAGAGAGAGAGAGAGGAAGGGAGAGGGAGAGAGAGATATAAACATCGATGAACATCAATTGGCCACCTCCTGCCTGCCCCTCACTGGCGTTTGGGCCCACAACCTGGGCATGTGCCTTGATCCGGAATTGAACCAGTGACCTCTTGGTGTATGGGTTGATGCTCAACCACTGAGCCACCCCAGCCAGGTGCTCAGATTTCTTCTTTTAAGACATCAGTATTTCAGGGGCCCTGTAAAAGATACCAAAGAGTCAAGGCAGGAGGCCACATGACTTGGTATGTACCAGCATATGCATACATGTGAGTACATGTGCCCTATGGGGCAGCTGAAAGATAGGTCTTGGTGTCAGTCAGATGAGCGCCCAATTCAGATGTCAATACTCCAAGACAAGAAGGAAAGGCCTGCTTCCCTGGCAGGTAACCTTGGGCAAGCGAGTCAATTTCTCTAAGCCTTAGTTTTCAAATCTGTAAAATGATCCCGAGCTAGCAGGGATGTGAGTAAAGTGCCTGGCACAATTAATGTGCCAGGAAACAGCACTTCCCTCCCTGCCCCTGTGGGTCTTACAGAGCTCCCAAAGAGAAGTCTCTACATGTTGAGCCTTAGTGCCATCTGCTGCTACTCTGGGCACTGAAGGGACCAGTTGGGACACAGCCACCGACCTGGGCTTAGGGAGCAGGGCCAGGGTCCAAGGGAAGGTGCATCTAGGGAAGTACCGTTTGTTCCTATAAGGTGCCTCCACGATACTAGGTCCTCTGCTCTGGGAACTCTAGCCCTCTCAGGAGGTGACAAATTCCCCATCCCTATGGGTGACAATGTATGTGCAGGGACTCACAAAACATCACCTTTGGGACTGGGTACCTTTTTCAGGGAGACAGGTGCCCAGTGGTTGAGTAGGGCCTCCGAAAGCACACTGTTTGAATGTGAATTCCGGCTTCCCCACTGTCGGTATGACCTCGGGCTAGTTCCAGACCCTCTCTGCGCCACAGCTCCTCTTCTATAAAACGCAGACAGTACCCACCTCACTGTGAGGACTGTGAGGAGTGTTAGTGGTAACAATAACCACTAAGAGTTATATATTTCTTGAGAGCTTCCTAAATTGAAAGCACTTTACACATAGTTTAATCCTCACTGACGATACTTATGAAGGAGGCACTATAAATATCTCTTTCATACAGATGAGGAAAGTAAAGCAAGGAGACATTGAGTAAAGTGATTTGAGGTCACTCAGCTGGTAAGCGATGGAGGCTGGACTTGAACCCAGCATCTGTCACCAGAATCCATGCGCTTACTCATTACACCGGCCTGCCTCTGTTTAAGGCAGTATGAGATAACACATGTTACACAATGAAATTATGTAAGGCCCACACTATCCCCCCCCCCCCCATTCCTTCCCTTCTAGCTTCCTGGGCTCCAGGCAGGAGCCTCAGCAGAGGCTCTGTGTCCCCGAGAGCTCCTAGACTGCATGCCAGTCGACCCAGCTCTCCCCATGCCAGCTCCAGAAGGCCACCTGGTCACTGCTGGTCTATTTTCCTGCCACCTGCAAACTCCTTTCCAACTCCAATCAACAATAAAGCTACAGCTGGTCCTGGAATGAGGTTTCATACAACATCATTTTGTTATAACGTTGATGAGATACCGCAGGAGCTTAACTCTTGTTCATATCAATTAGCCTATGGCAAAACTGCTTTCATTAGATGTTGTTTCACTTAGAGTTACAGGGCCTACTGATGGCACTGAAGACTTACTGTAGTGGCAGCTATTCAGTGAGTGCTTACTACATACCAGGAGCTGAGCTATTCAGTGAGTGCTTACTACATACCCTTCGTATCCCCATTCTGCATCTTCATATGAACTCTGAGAGGCAGAGATTCTGATCCCCATCATGCAGATGAGATGATCAAAGCTTACCCCACTGAGTACATTTGCCAGGGTCACAGATCTCGTACATGGCAGCATTTGAATTTGGAACTGTTTGGGCCTAGGCATGTAAGTACTAAGTTTGAAGGCTGAGGGTGAGGCCGGATGTTGCCAATCTCCTAGCACCTGTGCATGCTGCAGGTGTTGCAAGGAAAATGCGTAGGCAAATATTTGTCTAGACATAGGCAAATCACACCCACAAGGCAAGACACTGAATCTCCAACTAGGTCCTGACGAGCTGTGTCAAGGGAACCTGGGAGGAGCAAGAGAGAAAGGTCTTGAAAGACCTGTACCTGAGCGTCAGATGCAGCGGAGTAGAAAGGTCTTGGGCTTCGGTACAGGCCTGAGTGGGGAATCCTAGCTCTGCTGTGGGACCTTGGGCAAGCCCTGAACCTGGCTGAACCTCAGTTTCCTCAGCAAGTTGTTGAGAGCAATGGTGAGTAGGTACATCATGCCTGGTACCTGCCGGATAGAATCTGTCCACTTCTTCCCATCTCTGCCACGAGAACCCATGTGGGTCAGGACTCCACTCCCATTGCTCCATGACACTGCTCTCCTCAAGGTCACCAGGGACCTCCATGTTGTTCAATCCAGCAGCCATTACTCAGTCCTTGTCTTGCTAACCTATCAGCTACCTCTGACACAGCTGATCCCTTGGTGCTCCTTGAACACTTTCTTGACTTAGCTTTCAAGACAACACACTCTCCTGGTTTGCCTTCTACCTTGCTGACTGTGACTCTTCAGACTTCTTTGTTGATCCCTCCTTAACTTGCTCACCTCTCAGCACTGAGTGCCCCGGGGCTCAGTGGAGGACCTCACCTCTTTTCTGTCTACACGCATTTCCTCGGTGATCTCATCCAGACTCATGGCTTTAAATACTACCACTTTGCTGATGACAACCAAATTTGTTTCTCTAGCCCCGACCTCTCCCTCAAGTTCCAGTTTCACTCATGCAGCTCCCTACTTGATACACCTGGGTGTCTCATGGACACCCCAAATTTAACACATCCAGAACCGAGTTCCTGATATTCCATGCCCCCCAATGCTGCTCCTCCCCTAGTTTTCCCCATCTCAGTCAATGGCAACCCTGTCCTTCCAGTTTCTCAGGCCAAAACCCTTGGAGTCATTTTAGAATCTTTTTTTTTATCTCATACCCCACTTCTAATCTCTCAATAAATCTTTTTGGCTCAATGTGCAAAATATATTCTGACACCAATAATTTTTACTTCTAACATCTTGGTTCAGTCACTACCATCCTCTTATAAAAGACCCCCCCCCCCCCCATTCTCTGTTCCCCTTGGTCTTTTCTCAACACAGCAGCAAGTGATTGATTCTGTTTAAAAAAAAAGTCAGATTAAATCACTCCTCTGCCCGGCCGGTGTGGCTCAGTGGTTGAGCATCGACCCATGCACCAAGAGGTCACCGCTTTGATTCCCAGTCAGGGCACATGCCCAGGTTGTGGGCCAAATCCCCAGTGGGGGGCACGTAGAAGGTGGCCAATCAATGTTATCTCTCATCGATGTTTCTATCTCTTCCTTTCCCTTCCTCTCTTTCTAAAATCAATAAAGAAAAAAAAATATTTAAAAATAAAATAAAAATTAAAAAAATGTGGACAAAATCCTCCAAAGATGCCCCATCTCCCAGGGGGAAACT